CGGCGGCGGTAGCGACGAAGAAAGCGATGACAGCAGCGATGAAGACAGCGACTGACGACCTATGTTTCAGTGTTTCAGTTTATTCATTATGTAGATGTCTTATGCATACGTCGTAGGTGGGTCAGTGCGAGATTTACAGTTTTTTTCCCGCACGTAGGGCGGGCGTGCGGTGTGCGGTGATGGTGCGGTTCGTAACTTCGAAGTCCATCGTGTCGTATTTCATTATTTGTTCGATGTCTGAGGGTTCGGAGTATTGCATGTTATGTAGTGTTGTAGTGTTGTCATGTCAAGCATCATGGCAGTAGAGTGTAGAGTCAAGCATCATGGCAGTAGAAAAATATGGAAAGGACACATTATTTCGCCTATCGCCGACAGATCATCTCCGCAGCAGTCGACCAGCCTCGCGACCTGCCCGTTTGTGTTACTAGAAGTACATGCATACGTCGCGAAAGTCGCTTAGATGAAGTAAATCGCCACAGATACCAGCAGAAAAAAATCGCCGAAAATGGAACACGACTCACCGAGAAGCGATATGCAGTCGCCGAACGTCGCCGAAAAAAAAAGCCGATCACCAAATTTTTTCGCCGCAAAGAAAAAAGGGAAACGCCGGAAAAAAAAAAAAAAACGATCGCCTATCGAGCATAGCCTAATTGCGTGACGGATGAGTGTTCTGCTTTTCACTCCGGGTCCTCGGACACAAGTGTTCTCTGCTATCCCCTCTCCCTGATAATACAAGACTTTCTCATCTCGGCCCTCACTGGCCGAGCTGCCTTTCTCCACAAACCTTCAAGCTTCGGCCTACCCAGTTTACCCAACCCACTGGAGCCAACAACGAATTTGAATTTTGACCTCGTCATGCTTAGGCATCTCTGGACCAAATGAAGCCATTCTTTTTGCAATAGATGAGGATGTAAGCTGAGTACGTGGAACCAACCTAATGTCACTGTATTACGCCGGAGTCATGAAGAGACTGGGGTGTTACTGCTGTTGGGTAGGTGATGTCGGTGGCTGTCTTCTGGTGGTACGTTCAGGGTAGATTCCGGACATACACTGCTACGCTGCGTAACTGGTTCAAAGAGTCTCGCCGACTTCTAGTGTATGAGTAACCCAGCGTACCTTCGTCGGAAATTGGACGTCTACGCTCCTGCTTCGCCCTCTGTCGACGCTGATGTACGGTGAGGACTGCGCGGGTCTCGCGTCTCGCCGCTTGCTTGGCAGGGTTTCCAGGGAGGGGACACGTTTCCGTTGGAGGCCTCGTTTTCCATATATTTTCTTTTTTTTTGCTGCGCGCAGTACCTGGGGGAGGTTAGGAGAAGCTGCGGGGAGCGCCTATTCACAATCCATGGATTGTCAGATAGAACCACAGTCCAAACATCAATCCCAGTTTGTTTGTTGTTGTTGTTGTGAACTGGGCTGGTTGACCCCTTCGGCGCGAGAATTTTTATTTTTCAGACCAAGAACCTTGAGTGCAA